CAAACAGACAGGTGAGTGGTGGGTCATAGCCTTGTTGTTTTTAAGTGACATTGAGTTGATTCTCACTCATAGCAACCTGTGTAGGGTTTCTGATGAGTGGGTGGTGGGTTTGTACTGCCTGCTATTGTTAAGAACTGTTGAGTCCGTTCTTACTCATAGCCACCCTGTATAGTGTTTCTGAGGAGCAGCTGGTGAACTTGAACCACCTACCTTGCAGTTCAAACTGACTTTGCAGTATAGTGCATTAACCTGCAGTGCCACACCAGAACTTCTTGTATCGCCTAGAACTCATTAAATTAGACTCTATGTATGAGTCCTTACTCATCTGAAGTTCAGTCACAGTTGAGAACCATTGCTTTAGGTTATTGCCAGGCACTTAGTAAGTGCTCCATGGGTATCACCTTTTATTATCATCAATACCCACTCTTGGCATCACTACATGAACATTTAATAATATTTACTTCATTACTCAGATTTTAGAGAGTTAAAATATTGCCAATAAGATTAGAATTTTCTTCCTCTCTAAGTATGATCCTGTTATCATAGTGGATTATGAGCTGGGCTACTAATCACAAGGCCAGTAATTAGAATCTACCAGTAACTCCATGGGACAAAGATGAGACTTTCTGTTCCTTTAAAGATTTACAGCCTTGTGAAACCTATACAGGGTGGCTATGAGTCAGTTCTGACTCAGTGGTACACTACTACTGGTACTAAGTATGATCCTAGTTTTCTACACACCTGTTCCCCCAAAGACAATTTCTGTCATGAAATAATAAATTTTGTGAATATATTTTCCTTTCAGTATTTTCATAATATTAGTATTAGTTTATGTATTCACAACCAATTTTCTTTGTAGAGCAGAGAGGATTCACAATTAAATTGTAGCCCACTGAGGCCCATGCATAAACTAGCTTCACTCTTTTCCTCATATTTCAAAATGTTTAAAGCAGAGATCTGGAGAATTTAACCAGTGATACAGCTAACTTATATCTTTAAAGTCATTCAGCTTCATGGCTAAGAATGGAAGCCAATATCTTGCATTTATATTTCCTTTAGATATCAAAGATGAAGGGAGAAGTAGAGTCAAATCCTGGAGAAGGGGAAAGGAATTTATTAGTAGGAGTGAAAGCACCTTGACCAGGGGAGAGATGGCAGGCTTTTTGGGGCACTACAGCATCTGTCTTGCTTGAGCAAGTTTTAAAGAGGACAGTTATACTCTTTACTATGATAATGAGTGAAATGAAGGAACAAAGGAACTATGTAGTTCTTCCTGGAATTTGCCCATTTGGAAGGACTTATGGTAAGTGGCAGTGTTATTTGTAAGATAGAGTCTGTTGTAAAGGCTTCTCGGATCTTAATCATCACTTATTATGACATGTATTTCACAGTGTCCCCTACTGGAAAGTTGTATCCTGTTCATGGTTAGAGATTCTGCACATGCTCTTGATCAAATTCAAGTTTGTTCAGATCTCATGAGCTTTTGAAAGACAATTTAAGGAAGGTTTACATGAAAAAAGACTAAGTTATAAAGTTCTAGGATGTGGTTGACATTGCTCCCGGTGTTGGTGAGACACCTGGGGCTTTCCTGCATCCTTGTCTATCAGCAGATCTTTGGTCATGCAGCTACAAGGGAATTCCTTTCCTGCTTGTTTTTAGTCCCAGTGGGACCACAAGGTGAACTAAAATGTTATCTGTTCAGATTCACCAGCTGTTCCTCAGAAACCCTATACAGGGTTGTTATGAGTTGGAACAGACTTGAAGGTACTTAACAACAACAACAACAATCCTCATTCCCTTGGGAGTCCTGGTGTGTCACTGTAAGATAAACACTGGACCACAAGATTGGTTTGAACCGCAAGGTCAGCAGTTCAAACTCATCAGCTGCTTCTCAGAAACCCTATACAGGATCGTTTTGAGTTGGAACCGACTAGATGGTACACAACCAACCGCCACCCCCTCATTACCTTGGTACTCTAGCCTGCCTTAAGTTTTCCCATTCTACAATTCACACTCAGTTTTTTTCCCCCCATAATATAGGTTTCAATCTCCACAATGCAACAGCCTTCTTCTCACTTCCTGTGTTTCCTGTTTCTGTTTGTTCTTTCCTGCTTGTCTCTCCCTGATTTTGAAGCTGTGTCTCTGGCAAAATGCTGCCCATTGATCTTGTCTGACCGATTGTTCTGAGGATTGTGTTCCTCCTTGATGTTGTTGTTTATTTTACATGGCTGCCTGTTGTGTAGAAATTGACCCAAGGGGGTAAATTCAAATTGGACTAGAGGTGTGTGTGAGAGGAGAGCCTTAGTTTCAGGTTTCTACCAGTCTTTATCAGACCAGTGATAGCATGGATCTACTGGCTTAAACAAAATGGGGTTGGTTTAGTCATTGTTGTTGTTGTTGTTAAGTGCCATTGAGTTGGTTCTAACCCATAGCAACCCTGTATAGGGTTTCCAAGGAGCAGCTGGTGAGCTTGAACCGCTGACTTTGCAGTTCAAATGGCTTTGCAGTCTGGCATATTAACCCACAGCACCACACCAGGACTCCAATTAGGTCTTAATAAATGAAGAACTTGCAAATGAAGAAGTTAGTTTAAAAATTAGCTGAGATGATTTCATGGTCCTAGAACAGGATGTGCTTAAGCCTCCCCCCCCCCCCCCCCCCCCCCCCCAAAGAGAGTTATCTCAGGAATTCAGCAGCTTGGATCCTAAAAGGTAGAATGTTTGTGAAGGATTATTGCCTGATTGCTCCCTTTTTCCTAAAGGTAGTATGTTTGAAGATATTTATTGCTTTATTATTTCTGTTTCCAAAAAATGCTATCTTGATGTTAACATAGATTAGGTGTAACATCCAAATGTAACTTACTCTTCATAATGCACAGGACAATCTTGAGACATTATGCTCTCCATCCTCCAGACTGCTGGCTTTGTGCTAATAAAGCTCCCTGCCCCCATCCTTGTTGTCTCTATGATTGACTACAGTGATAGGCGGTAAGCCCTCATTTTGGTTTGGCCACATCAGCCAGTCTTGTCTCTTTTTTTATGACTTCGAATTTGATTCTACATATTTCTCCCACTCTATCCAAGACCTTCTATTATTGTCCCAGTTAAAGTGGTAGGTAGTGGTAGTGGTAAGTAGGTAGTGGTAGGTCATCTAGTTCTGATTCCAGAGTCACCAGCCACTTTTTGAAACCCTATCCAGGGTTGCTATTAGTCAAAAGCAACTCTATGGCACTTAATAACAGCATCAAGTATTCTAAAGTAGCCTTGATGGCACAGTGGTTAAGTGCAGGGCTGCCAATTGAAATGTCTAGAGTTCAAATCCCCAGCTATTCTGGGTAAAATAATGTGGCAGTCTGCTTTTGTAAAGATTTATAACCTTGGAAACCATATGAGACAGTTCTACTCTTTCCTATAGGGTCACTGAGTTGAAATTGACTTGATGGTAGAGTTTTTTTTTTTTTTTTTTTTTTTTTTTGGGGGTGGTTGTTGATTTACATAGTCTTTAAGGAAACCTGGTGGCATAGTGGTTAAAAGATTGGCTGCTAATCAAAAGGTTGGTGGTTGGCACACACCCAGTCATTCTGCAGAAGACCTGGAGATTTGCTGTGATAAAGATTATATAGCCTAGTAAACTCTGGTGTTGTTGTTGAGTGCTGTTGAGTCAGTTCCAACCCATAGCAACCTTGTATAGGAATCGTAAGGGACAGATTTTCTTAGTCCTATAGTGTCACTATGAATCAAAGTGACCTGACAATACCTAAGGACAATAACAACAATAGGTCTTCTATACCAAGTATCTGATACCATTTCAATTTTCTGGAGTATTATTTGTGCCATGAATGAGCACCTTCTATTTTTCCTTTCTGTAGCCATTACATGTGGTTAAGGGGTTTACATACTGGCAATTTATATTCTTTTTGCTAATTTGAATGATGCACCAGTTCTAATTCTTGGGTTGCTAATAGATTTTGGTATCTCAGAAATCTATTTTAGAAACAATTTTATTTTGCCATTTAATCCTGATCTTATGCTGTTGGATAAGTTCTGATGTTTGCCAAGGCTCCAGGCATCACCAAGCTTCACTGGGAAAGACTCAGATTCTAAAGTTACTCATGTGCTAGTTGACAGGGATGATTTAAGGGAATACTGGTTTAATGGTTTAATGGTCTCCTGGTTTGGCACTGTAGGGTCAGAAGTGGACTGTGAACTACAAGTTAGCAGCTCAAACACACCAGCTGCTTCTTGGAAATCCTGTACAGGGTCACTCTGAGTTGGAACTCAACAACATTTAACAAGAACAACAATGACATGGTTCAAAACCAGGAAAGTTTGGTTGGGAGTAGAGAGCATGAGTTTAATATCTGGGACATATGACCAGCTTTGTGTATGGAGGGAGGAGATAGTTGAAGAAAAATGATCAGAAATGTTAAGGAAAATCATATTGCCTGAAGTTCTTTCATATCGTCCCCTTGTGAATTCTGATGACTTTAAGATAGATCTTTGGCATCTGCTCATGAAAAATAAAGGACCTCTAGTGAAGGAGCTCTGGTAGTGTAGTAGGTATGAATCGGGCTGTTAACCTTAACGTTAGCAGTTCAAAACTACTAGCTGCTCCACGGGAGAAAGAAGAGACTTTCTGCTCCCATAAATATTTACAGCCTTGGAAACCCTGTACAGGGTTTCTATGAGGCAGAACTGACTCCACGACACATAACAGCAAACAACAAGTGCACATTAGTCAATTTTGAACAATGGTCTCACCATATTTGTAGATTTCAACCTTGGCTGCTCCCTTGTAGCTTGTGGGGTGCTTTGATAAGCCTTCTGGCCCATCATATTACTTATTCTAAATACATTGGAATATCTGGTGGTGTAACTCAAGCAAATTTTCTTTAAAATTTACCAGATGATTCCAATATGAAGCCTAGTTTGAGAAATAACAATAAGCAGTAAAATACCTAAATTGCATAAATAGATGACATATATGATGGTGTATTGATATTATGCTGGTCTGTTGATGAGCCTCTGCAGGGCCCTCTTGATATCCTTGTTTCTCAGACTGTAAATGAAGGGATTCAGCATGGGGGTGACCACGGAGTACATCACTGAGGGCACTGCACCACTCTTGACAGAGGTTGAGACAGCTGAACTCAGGTACACTCCAATACCTGTTCCATAAAATAAGGAAATGACTGACAGATGAGAGCCACAGGTGGAAAATGTTTTATACTTCCCGCCTGATGATGGGATTTTCAGAATGGAGGAAATAATTCGAATGTAGGAGACTAGGATACCTGAGACTGGAATACCACCAAATATGGCACCCATTAAATAAGCTAGTATGTTTTTAGTGGTTGTCTTAGAGCAGGCGAGGTTGAAGAGTTGTGAAGGGTCACAGAAGAAATGAGGAATTTCCATTTTTGTGCAGAAGGTAAATAGTGACATCATCAAGTAGTGCAGTTGGGATTCCAAAATACTGAGAAAAAAAGACACCAAAACCAGCAAGCCACAGAGGTAGGGGTTCATGATAACTGGATAGTGAAGTGGGTGACAGATGGCCACAAATCTGTCATAGGCCATCACCGTCAAAAGTAGATTGTCCATACTTCCAAAAAAAGTTAGGAAATATAACTGAGTCAAGCAGTCAGCATAAGAGATGATTCTGTGGTGTGTGCGTATATTCATAAGCATCTTTGGGATTGTGTCTGAAGTCAAACCAATGTCAGACATGGATAGGATCGAGATGAAGAAATACATAGGAGTGTGGAGTTGTGTGTCAGAACTGATGGTAAGGATGATGAGCAGGTTTCCAAGCACTGTGACCATGTACATAGACAGGAACATTCCAAAGAGGAGGGGCTGTAGCTCTGGATCTTCTGAGAGTCCCAGGAGTAGGAATTCAGAGACACCTGTTAGATTCTGTGGTCCCATGGTGCAAAGACACCTTTGTGAAAATAAACAAAGGCTGGTCAAAGGGAAAAAGGAAGCAGGCCCTGTGACTATAGTGAGACTTCAAAAAGTTCATGTAAAAATTCCATGATCTTTTAGTTCAATTGTTTTCATGCACTTTTAAAGCCTCCTGTATACTCTGAATTCAGGAAATTCACAAGTAAAGTATTTACACTTTAGACCATACACCATTTTTGGCAACACATCTCAAATGTGGCAAAACCATTCTTCCTAGAACTTTTCCTCAATGGTTTCTGTGCTATTTGCCTTACTCACTTTTTTTTTTTTTTTTTTTTTTTAACTCACAAAACACTTTGGTGATTGTAGTTATATGCCGTGGATTGGTTCTAACTCATAGCGACCCTATAAAGGGTTCTTGAGGCTGTAAATCTTTATAGGAATAGAAAGTCTCATCTTTCTCCCATGCAACAGCTGGTAGTTTCTAACTGCTGACCTTGAGGTTTGCAGCACTATTCATAACCACTATGCTACCAGAGCTCCTTTTGTTGTTGTTGTTGTTGTTAAGTACCGTAGAGTCGATTCCAACCCATAGCAACCCTGCATAGGGTTTCCAAGGAGTAGCTAGTGAGCTTCAACCACCGACTTTGCAGTTCAAACAACTTTTTATTCTGATGCATTAGCCCACAATGCCACACCAGGACTCCAGAGCTCCTTTAGAGACACTCAAATAAGAATTTTGAAGACTGTTAAGAGAATCACAGATATTTAAGGATAAGAAATTCATAAAGCCCAAAAAAGAATTAACTCAAGATGAAGTGCAAAAAATCAAGACACATAACAAGTGAATGGATCAAAGCACCATAAAAAAACAACCAATGAAGACAAATCCAGGAGTAGTTGGCTTAATTGGAAAATTTTATGAAACATTAACTGAATAACTGATGGCACACATTCTTAAATATTTTTAAAAAAATAGAAGAGGAGAGAACTTCCCTAACTCATTCTATGAGACAAGCATCATCCTGATACCAAAACAAGATGAAGACCCCACAAGAAAAGAAAACTACACATTAATACCACTGATAAACATAGACACAAAGTCCCCTACAGATTACTATAAAATTGAATCTACAAGAATGTTAAAAGGATTACCCATTGTCCAGTGGGATTTATCCCAAGATTGCAAGGTGGTTTCAAATTAGAAAATCAGTTAATGTAGTATACTACTACATCAGCAAAACAAAGGAAAATAACTCTATATCTATTTTCCTTTTACTTCAGGCAGAAAAGGCTTTTGACAAAATCTAACTTCTAATCTTACCATTGTTATTCAATATTTTACTAGAAATTCTAACTGAACAATTAGTCAACAAAAAGAAATTAGGAATCCAAATTGGGAAGAAAGAAGTAAAGCTATCCCTTGGTAAAGGTAGCTTTACCATTCTTATTACTTATCCTCACTTTAGGGCAAGAAAAGTCTGGAAGCATTTTCCATTATTTACAAGCTGCACATAATAGCAAGTGAAGGTGATTATGATAAATAATTTTTTGAAAGTGGGTATTGGGGAAATAATTTCAAATAAAAGGCAAATTAACATAACGCTAAAGAACAAGCAAGAGTTGTCTATTTATAAAAGTCTCTAAAAGAATAAAATAATTGTTGTTGTTGTTGTGTGCCACTACGCTACCAGAGCTCCTTAATAATTAGGACTAAATTAAATCAGACAGATGAAAGACTTTTTGTGGTGTAGTGAATAATCTGATGTTTCTTTTAGTCATTGCCATCAAATTGATTCAGGCTCATGGAAAACCTATGGGACTGAGTAGAATTGCCCCACGGAGTTTTCAAAAGTGTAATCTTTATGGAAGCGGACTGTCATATATTTCCCCCACAGATAAAGGTCTGGTTTGAACTGAAGACTTTCTGGTTAGCATCTGAGCACTTTAACTTGTACACCAGGTCTCCTTTTATAGCTGCTTAGTGTCCTGGCAGCATTAGTGGATTAAGAGCTGGGCTGCTAACTGTAAGGCCAGTAGTTTGAATCTACCATGGGAAAAGTTTGAGTTTTTCTGCTCCTGTAAAGATTTACAGCCTCTGAAACCCTATGCAGGGTTGCTCTGAGGTGGAACCTACTCGGTGGCACACAACCACCAGTGTCCTTTAATTTGACTGATTTTTTCTTAAAGAATGACTTTTCTTCTTCCACATTTCTTTCATAAAGAATGGAATTACATTTTATTCTTTTCTTACTGTTATTAAAATTCATATAAGACAACATTCACTAATTGAGCATTTTTCCCAAGTAAAATTCAATTAAACATCAATCATTTTGTATAACTATCACTAATATCTGTGCCAAAATTTCATTCATCCATTCTATAAAGAAGCAGGTAACCACTATTAAACATTCATCCCTAAACGTTTGTCTATTCTAGATATTTTATAAAAAAGAATGCATGCAATATTTGTCCTTTTGTGATTCACTTATTTCACTCAGCATAATACTTTCAAGGTTCATTTGTGCTGTAGCAAGTAGCAGAACTTCATCTCTCATTATGGATAAATGATATTCTGTGGTTTTTTTTTTACCATATTTGATTTCTTCATTTATCTTCTGGTGTTTTTGTCTTTTGGCTACTGTAAATAGTCTTGCAATGATAATTGGTAGATATGTGTTTGTTTGCAATATGCTACTTTCATTCTCTTGGGTATATATACCTAGCAATGAAATTTCTGGTTCATATGGTAGTTCTATGTTTAACTTTTTCAGGACCACCAAAATTTTTGATAACAGTTGTACCATTTTGCATTCTCACCTTCAATAAACAGGTATCTAATTTCTTCACATAGTTGTCAACATATGTTATTTTCTTTTTCTTTCATTTTCTTTAATACTAAGTATCCTAGTAGCAAATTGAAGAGGAATGGCATAGCATTCATCACAAAGAACGTTTCAACACCTTGAAGTATATGTTGTCCGTTTTAGGATAGCATACACATGCCTACAAGGCAGACCAGTTAATACCACTATTACTCAAATTTACACACCAACAACTAAATAAAGTGATGATGAAAGTGAAGAATTCTACCAACTTCTTCAGTCTGAAATTGATTAAACATGTAATCAATATGTATTGATAATTACTGGTGACTGGCATGCAAAGGTTTGAAAAAAAAGAAGGATCAGTAGTTGGAAAATATGGCCATGGTGATAGAAATGATGCTGGAGATCACATGATAAAATTTGCAAGACCAATGATGTCTTCATTACAATAACCTTTTAAAAACAACATAAAAGACAACTGTACACATGACCCTCACCAGATGGAACACACAGGAATCAAATTGATCATATCTATGTAAAGAGACAGTGATAAAGCTCACTATCATAAGACAAAACAAGGCCTGGGCAGACTTTCTCATATACAAGTTCAGGCTTAAGCTTAAGAAAATTAAAATAAGTACACAAAAGTAATAATAAAACCTTGAACATATTCTATCTGAAGCTAAAGACCATTTCAGGAGCATATTTGATGCATTATACACTAATGACTAAAGATCAGAAGAGTTTATGATGGCATTAAAAAGATCAAACAGGAAGAGAAGAAAAAGTAATTAAGAATATCTGAAAGAAGAAAGAGACCAAAAGGGAGGTCTCAGTGTTCTTAAAAATGCTTAGTTCATACCAGTCAAACACTTTGCTTTCTAAAGTCATATTTGAAACAACTTGGGAGCCTGCCCTGGTGTGCTAGATGTTATTGTTAAGTGCCATCAAATAATTTTTTACTCACAGCAATCCTGTTTGGAGTTTCCAAGGAGTGGCTAATGAGTTTGGACTGCCAACCTTGCTGATGATACCGACCTTGCAGTCTAGTGCTTATCCTACAGTGCTTCACCAGCACTAATTCTGTGAGTCTCTTTATATGAATAATAAACGTTTTCCTATACTCCTGGCATGTGAGTGTGGCCTCATCAGCCTCACCATTTGAATCTAATTTGGGTTCTAATCTAGTGTGGGCAATCCATGCTAGCACTACAGAGTATTCATGACTAGAATCACATAAGCTAGACTTTAAATTCAAATCAAATGATCTGAGTAAGAGAAACCAAACCCGTTGTTCTTTGAGGCAATTCTATGTGGTGGTGACCCTATGTGCTACAGAGTAGAATTGGTTTGAACCACCAGCCTTTTAGTTAATTGTTAAGTGCTACTGGGTTGATTCTGAGTCATAGAGACCTCATGTGACAAGGTAGAACTGTGCCATAACGTTTCCTTGATTGTAATCATTACCAGAACAAACCATCAGGTTTTTCTTTGGTAAAGTCTCTGAGTGGGTTCGAACTGCCAGCTTTTCATTTAGCAGTAGAGTGCTTAACAATTTGTGCCACTCAGTGACTTTATTAGTTGAATATAACTTTATATGTACGTTATTAGAAGCATTTATTTTTTCATGAGTTTTCATCACTGTTTTCTTTCCTGACATGTATGTTACTTGGAAGTTAATACTCCCTCCAATGTGTGAGCTTTCTTTAAGAAGCCTTTTCAAGAACAAATCCTAATCTTTAGCTTTAGTGATCTTCACATTTTGATAAATAAGTTTTTGTTAAATGCAAAAAGCATACAGCATTGCTGATTTTAAATATTAACTAACGCAATTCCCCTGTCAATGATTGAAAAGTAATTAAGTATAATAAACTGCTAATGAACACTTTCTCATTTTTTCAATTATTTTTCAAATGATGCAGTGTTATTTCTATTAATCCTACACAATTTCATGAAAACATGTTGTTGCTGAGGCAACTGTATCTTTGTCATCATTTTTAGAGGATTGTTAAACATAAAAGACAAGACAACTATACACATGGACCTCTTCAGATGGAATACAAAGAAATCAAATTACAGCATCTGTGGAGAGAGATGGTGGAAAAGCTCCATATCATCAGCCTAAACAAGACCGAGGGCAGACTGTGGAACAGACCATCAATTGTTCATATGCAAGTTCAGGCTGAAGAAAATTAA